AAAAATAAATCAGCAATAATTTTAATTATCAATTCATCATTTGTGTTTTTAGGCACAAATGTCAAAAATTCACTTCAGCTTCTCAAATGTGACTTTTCTGGTTTTCATTATGTCTATAATGGCAAAATAAACACAGTGTGTATGTGAACTCAAATTCTGTTAAACAATGAAATAGGTCCCCAGCTTTCTAACATTTACACACCCAATGCTTACTCAAGAACCATCTGCAGATTGATCGATAATAAAAAGGAATAGTAGCTACAGTTCTATGGATACATGACTGTGTGCACAATACATGTAAAATATATTAAATGTATTTTTTTAGTGAGGAAAAAAACTGAATCTACAAACTTGTACTGACTTCATATCTTAATACATCTGTGACAGTGTACCTGAGGTGTACATGGGGATAGTTCTCCCAGAGGCTGCTGGGATGCAGGAGATATCCTTCCTGTGTAGGGGGGGGGGAAATGAGAGGAACATTTAAAAATATTTCAATAATGTTGTTGGTTTGTGTACAAGCCAAAATAAAATGCCAGCTATCTTTGATATGTGTGTCATTTACATAACCAGGTAATACGGGCAGGCGTGATCGCAGTAAAAAAAAATAAATAAATAAATAAAAATAAAAAAAAATCACACTCACTGTTATGAGGATGTAAAAACTCCACACACTAGAAACCAAGTGAAACACACACAGTTGACCCGACTCATTGAACTTGGTGTTCTTGCTCTTGGAGAGGTGGAGACGCCGGTTCACTTTCTGCAACATGAACAAAAGAAATCTATTATGACCTAGTCATAATAGGTGGCATGTAGATTCTTATCATCGTCACGCACAAGGAAGTGTCACCATCATAAAAATAACTGGGCCAACTATAAGCAGCAAATACTATTTATGGCTGCTGCTTGAAAACCCTCCTCTGAAGTATTATTTCAACCCTTTGGAAACCGTGGTGATGGAGCTAAAATAAAACCCCCTTCCTCCTCACTGGCCTATTTCTACACAATGACACAAGGGCTCATATTTCAGATGGAGTAGTATCTGCCCATTTTGTCTGATTTAGTCTTGAAAACAGCAAACTGGTCACATCGCTTCTGTGTTTCTGATGATACATTTCAAAATGTCCCTTTAACACCACAAAGTATATTTGCATGCAAACAAACCCTAAAGGGAAAACGGCTCATATCCTGGTTTCAGTATATTGTGTCTTCATATGCTTGAATATATTATTAATAGCAAGCTCCTGTGCTGCTGTGAGAACAGCAAACACACACCACAGAGTAAGTTCAGACTCATCACTGCAAAAACAGGTTATCGCAGTAATGATGGTGGTAATAATCACTTGAGCAGTTTCCATACAATTAAAGGAATGTCACCATGCATGTAAACACATTATATAACAGGTGATAGTAAAGAGAACTCAACAGCCAACTTTGTTAATACCTTATTTTGGTAACACTTTATTTTATTTTATATTTAAATACAGTGTTAAAGGACAAGGCCGGTCATTTTCTATATTATTTGTATGAAAATTTCTGAAAATACCGAGACTAAAACTGACAACGAATCGTCTCTACTCACAGCTAATGTCCGTCAGTCCTGGTTTAGCTTGTTGGTCTGTACGACAGACCTACGCAGTTCTTCAAAACCACATCAGTGAAACGCACCGCTGCACTTGGTCACATACTCGACTCTGAATTGTACTAACTTCAGGAAATTAGGACTGCACAGAAAAAATGGGGCAACAGTTGGCGTCTGGTGTTTCGTTATGAAAAAAACAAGTCACCCGGTGCAGCAGTGTGTTTCCCTGATGTATTTTAATTGTTTCTGAACAACAGCAGATATATCAGCTGACGGACATTAACCTTAAGAAAAGGCAAATCACTTTTAGTCTTTGTATGGAGTTGTATGTCACTCTTGAGAGCTACATTATAGTTTCGGTAGAGAAGGACCTTTCTGTGGTGTCTGCTGTGCCTACTCTGATGTACTGCGCTGCACTGATGAGTTGTATGTCACTCTTGAGAGCTACATTATAGTTTCAGTAGAGAATGACCTTTCTGTGGTGTCTGCTGTGCCTACTTTATCAGTGCAGCGTAGTACATCAAAGTACTTACATCTAGAAGATACTCCTGCACTATTGCATGGAAGATGATGGCGATGAAGAAATAGAAGAGGATGGTGGCACAGTCCTTCCATCCGTAATGGTACAAAGTCACCTCTCCCTCTTGAGCACACATAAGAGAGGTCAAACACACATGTTTGCAGTCAGAGGTGTGTTAACATCCTGGAGCAGCATTTGTAATCACAGTTCAATTAACACAATGAGGCAACGTGCAGGAACAGAGGCAGCAGAAATGAAACTCTGAAATGTACATGTCAAAAATGGGAAGAGAGGTAGTACACTGTGAATTCATAGGAGTATTTAATTATAATCCATCAAATGCACTGCATACCTGGTGATAGTGTGGTGACATTGTACTGAGGCTGAATGAACAGTATGGCCGTCTTGGCTGTTGCCTGGAAATTAGATGAGATGATGATTAGCAACATATTTCAGTGAAACTGTCAAACCCCAAGAATTTCTGTGGGTGTGTGACAGATGTAGGATAGAAAGGCAGAGTAAGAATACATCATGTACTGAATAATACTGTCAGCCATTGTAATTGGCCACTGGGAGCTGAATTCCTGAAGGAATGCTGCTGAGAAATTTATTTTGCATGACAAGGCTTGTAGCTGTAACATAGCTTCCCAAAAGTGTTTTATGTCAAGCATCCCCTGCACAAGGCCATTAGCCAGGCGTTTCCCCGGCCTTTTTGCCACGACACCCCTTTAAATGGAGCAACGTCTACCTGTGGCCCCTTGTGTCACAGGCTGCATTCTGTACAGCATCATATTTGTAATGAATTAAAAATAATCAAAACTGTTGCAGGTTAATCAACTAAAAGCTTTAACATTACAGAGATCAGAGACATGTCTTTAGTGCCACAGTTTCTCCAGTTAATCAGCTCGTGGCCTCTCACATTTATCTTCAGCCTTTTCAGGATCCAACTGCTGCATTAAACCACAGATGACCACAACATAAAATACTGTCCCAGTCAATCCCAACTGGACTGATGTGTGATTTGGCACATTCCTGTTGAGTCCCTCAGTGAAGTCAGAGGCACCACAGTGAAACAAACCATTCCCTGCCCATCAGAGCCACAGGTGCCTTCAAGACCAAATTCTTGAATTCAAGACCAGCTACAGCAGTGTTATTCTCTTTTTCCTGAGAAAAAAGAAGGAAATCCCCTGCCTTTTTTTCTTTTTTTTTTATAAACACGGCCAGCTGTGATCGCAAACAGTGTTCCGGATTGAAACTTAGTTCAATTCCCAAGCGCATCTGAACACGTATGAGAAACTATTGGCAAGTGAAACACCTCAGTGGTGGAAAAACCTTCAGGTATAGGCAGTTTTCGGTGTAGCTGAGCCTACAGTAGCGGGTTAGTTTTAGACGTGGCAGTTAACTAGCAGAATCAAGCTAGCACGAAAAAGTCAGACCGCTTTCGTCTAGCTTTTCAAAATAAAGCCCTTAATAAAAGATGTGTGCTAAAATTCCCTCTAAGCAACAGTGGTGCTTTTAATTTGAATGATTAAATTGTTTAATCCTATCTAAATTTAACATATCAACACATTTTGGAATCTAGCGGAGTGTATGTCGTTAATTGGAAGACTTTCCACAAAAAACAGGTGAATTTTAGAGGAAAACGAAGTTATAGCGTGTGGTTTTTGAGCAGCCACATGCTTACGTCACCAAGACAGTTTATGAACTGTGTCCCAATTTAAGAAATTCCGGTTAAGAACATGACACAAACCAAATGTGTAAAAGTGCTGCTATCTTCAGCTGTATTCTTCTAGCTCGGATTAGATCAGACCTCACGACTTATCGAACAGAGCAACACTTCATTGTTCACAAAACTTGCACAAAGCTGCAAAAAGCAGCCACCATATCCGCGGTACCGATTACACTGATATAAGGTTCAGCTGCAGTCAAACAAGCAAATATCCTTACGAAGAAAATGCTTTCGACCGAATAAAAGCTAATTTAACGGTTAGTTAACTATATATGCGAATGTGCAGGAGGCTATCTTGAAACAGCTGAGTGAGACGAAAGAAGAAAAGGGAGTTCATCTCACCTCAAACATCAGTCCAATCAAAATGAAAATCACCAAACTAAAGACGATGTCGGCATGGTTTTGAATTAAGAATTCCTGACTGAAGAAAGGGTAACTCTTGTTTCTTCGGCGAAACGCCATGTCAACCCTGTGACGTTTCCCTTGCTATTTTATAAATCAGAACTTTCCTGGCTACGAAGTTCTGGAGTTAACTTTATAGCTAGTGTGCGCATGCGCACCGCCTTAAAGGGCAAGTGCCATAAATACCTTTTGAGGCCATTTGCACAAAAAAGGTTATGTTCAGTCCAGTCTACTGTCCTAAGAAAAGATCATTTCTGAGTGATCACACTTTTTCTAAGTTCAAAAATATTACGAAAAGACAGCGTTTAACAATTAAACTCAATAATGACTTACGTTTATACCATATATATAAAAATATTAGTGTAAAAACAAAAGCTTGTGTTCCAGTCACCTCAACATGGAGGCTTATTTATTGCATATTTAAAGCCATCAGGGGCCTTGCACTTCACAGTTCAAAATGTCATATAAACAGCATCATTTCACTGCTTTGTTTGTGGATTTCATTCCTTTCTCAGAACAGGAATGAGCAAATTATTAAGAACATAAAAAGTCACTACAAGTACCTCATAAACATCTTTTTTTAACATTTTGTTACATAACAGACATTGAAAAGCTTTTTAAATTCGGTGCCTGAGACTTTTTTGTTTGTTTCTAATGTAAGGTAAACATGGTCAACATGTAAATTAGGTTAAAATATCAAACAGTTTTGCCAGGTTGACACACTAGCCCCGCTCAAGGCAATGCCAGTTGACATGATCATACAAAAAATACAGCTTATTATCCACTCTCCGAGTGGACCTTTTTCCCTATGTGAATAACAAAAACTCACAGCACTACATCTATTACACAGAAGATATCTGTGCTTTTAAGAAGCCAAAAAAAAAACCCTGGCTGACGTCAAGATGGTACAGGTTCAGTCAGACATTCCTGTTTGCTTTAGATTCAGGAATCATTTCTCTATTCTCATAACTGCTGTCAGTTATTTATGTGAACAAGAGCAGTTTCATCATGTAAAATAGAGGCCATCAGCTGCCAGAGATCATAAAGCAGCTGCATATTTCTAATTATGTTTATTGATACAAGTCAAGGCTAATTTCTTAACATGTAATTACAATGTAGCAGAACCAGTGTTTATTTTATTGCACAGTATAATTAATTTGCTTTTTAATTATCTTCTCAATGTCTAATGAAAACACTGCTGATGGTTTCACCTCTGTGTGCACAGATTTTTGGGCAACTGCTTTTAGAAAATGTATTCATGATTTGAGAAGAACACAGGCTAGCTTATCATTGTCCCAAAAATGTTGCATATCCTGTGCCACATAGTGTGCTAAATATATAGGTGTACAGAAGTGAAATTTCTGCAAGCATTGTTATCCACTGAGAAGATGAATAAAAAGCCTTCCAAAAAGCTGGTGCACTTCTTTAATGTTAGATAAGTTGCTGTTACTCTTTTACTGATTCTGTCATGAGAAAGCTAGAAATTATCGTCTTCTTCTGTTTGGGACATTATGAGCTGCCTTCTTGGACCTGTGAAATGAGGGACAGTGGAGGGAGAGTCCAGCAGCCCAGAGTCCAATTTAGGTGTGGAAATGCAACGTGGCCCGACCCGGCACATGAGCCCACGGACATCTCTATGAAGGGCTGGATCACTAGGGATAGAGTTGAGGCGAACGCCCTGTTCCAGACCCCCAATGTCCCGGTCCAAACGAGGGTTACTGGCACTGCTGGGAGACTGAGGATCAGCACTGAAATACAGGGTTGAACTTGACTCTGTGGGGCAGAAATAAGGCTCTGGACTGTCTCCAAACACAGACTTGCCCTCTGGTGAGCTGCGTTTCAAATCAGATGTGGGTGACTCCAGACTGTCATACTCTTCTTCGGGTTGTTCAGTTGACGAGGGTTCGCTCACGCTCTGGAAATCATCTTTACAGTCCGAGAGCGGTGCTTGGCCCTTCCCTTTGGTCTCAGAGTTGGAGACACCCTCAAAACTGCCTCCACCTGTGATAGTAATGCCCTCGTTACTCTTAAACTCATGGTGGTACACCTCCATGTCTAGTATGACTGCTGCTCCACCAGCCCCGTAGGCTCTGTTAATCTTCCCCAAGTCTCCTGTTTTAAGGGCCAGTCGGATCAAGAGCCAGTGATGGTGGTAGCAAAGGCAGGAGCTGTTAGGGCGGCCCCCACAGGTTCCTGGGTGCTCCAAGAAAGAACCTACAACACCTGAGAGGGAGAAGCTGCTGTGGTTTTGAATGGAGGGAGCTGGCAGGCTTTTGTCCCCAAGAGAGAAGGAAGACTCCCCCTGCTCTATACAAGTGCTGCCCATGTGGTTGTGGTTCGTACCCTGGGAGATCTCTGTTGACTTGGGATGGAGGAACCGGTAGTACAGGACAAGAGAGGTAGCACCTGGGAAGCACAGGGATAGGGGACAGTTCATTTTAGTATTTATTTTAGTTCATTTTGTATTATAGTATTCATTTTCACCTGTCCCATTTTCACTTTATTTATGAGACAATATGGAAAAATCTTAGTTAATGCACCTTTAAAGTCCTGTGTTATTTTAGACTTTAACTGCATTGTCAAGTATTAATGTAACATTTTCTATGAGTCATGGTGTGATGTGATTGAAGAGTGGCATTCGGTAAATGATGTTATTAACATTATTACTTGTACCAGCTGGAACCATTCTCATACTTGTGATTTAACCATATCTGAAATGCAATAATACACATAGCTGTGCTGTTCTACGTCTACCTATCTTAATCACCATGAGACCTGTATTACTCACAAAAGCTATCAGACTATGTTTACACCAGTCAAATTATAAGCATTGAAGAAAAATGTCTGAGACAAACCTTTTGCAAAACAAAGCAAATGCAGATGGGGAGAATGACTCACCGAGAAGGAAGCTACACAGCACAGTGGTGGGAAGGGTCAAGCTGTCCCATGATGCTTCGCTAAGGAAGTCGGAGGCAGCAAGCATCAGAGTAGCATTCTCTATGAGCATAAACTGAGGGAGGAAAGAAGGTCACACTATCAGTCATATGCAGACAGCTTTACATCACTGTATACCAAAGATGCAGGGGCGGAGGATGACGATCCGAACTATGTGTTTGGGCGTATACATGGGTGCGACTTCTGCGATGACCCAGGGTTGTGCAAAACAGCATATTGAAAACAGTCACCAGGATCAAACATGGTAAAAAAAGATGAAGTACAGCAATTACATCAAGTGTCTTACTGCATAAAAGCTGGCCATGCGGAAGCGTGACGGTCCATCCTTGATGTTGAGGAAGAGGAAGACATGGATGAGCCCCATGATGCTGTTAAAGGCACGCCAACACCAGGGGCCAGTGCAGATGTCTGGTTGCTGTGATACCAGCCAGAAGGAGGCGGTGAGCCAGTGGAAACCTGGAGGTCAATGTAAAAATAGACTAGGACCTGCAAGCGCAATAGAGGATCCATACACTGTATATCCCTGATGCAGAGGAGCAAGTCAACAACTGGATCAGAGGACAGGCTGCATCACTCTCAGGATAATTACATCACTCATTAACTTAACTGTGAATGAACAAAAATCTTTTGTTTAATTATTTGTAAATACTGAGTGATGAGGACAATAAGATATCTGAATTAATCACTGACACCCTTGTGCCTATATTTGCATCTGTGTACTATGTTACTGTACTGCAGTAATGTGTCCTCATTTCATTATAGACTTCCTCCTTTCACTGGTATCAGATGTAAGAGTCAGCTACAAAAAGAGACAGATGCAGGCTGCTGCTCACCTACTACTCCACAGACCCACCAGTTAAAGACCCTGGCAAAGAACATGAGGCAAGTCACCCTGGCACCAAGCATGCCTGCCCTCCACACCAGCTGGCACAGCAGGGCTGCTGGAGGCATGGCCAGGTGGCCCGGTCGGATCAGACAGCAGGCTCTACTGTACAGCACCAGGGCCCAGGATATAGACAGCACACACAGACCACAGCAATAGGCCACTGCAGATAAAACAGATCTCTGATCCAGACACTGTCTAGAACAAACGACATTACAAAAATCATGTCGAGTCAAAAAACAAGAGTGAGTTTACCCGGTGACATGATGCCCACGTCAGTAGATACCACAACATATGCCTGCAGCAGGCTCTGGGGCAGTGTGAGGATGAGGGCCTCCAGTAGCCAAAGGGCAGCAACATCTGCCTGCTGCATGACAGCAGCTCCGAGCTCAGCCACCGAGCCCTGCATGCGCAGCACAGACCTCATGCAGTCCCATAACCTGCCAGAAGAGGGAGCACTAAAGTAGTAATACACACTTCCTGGAAGAAGGTTTCCATAACAGGACAATGTGAATAGAATTTTACTGTGTACTTTGATGGGCACTAGGTATGTCACAGTTGTTGATGTTTGGTTTCTTACAAGGGGTAGGGGCACACCAGATTAAATCCTAAAGATGTAATATTGTTATATTTTGTACATAATTAGAGACCTCACCTTTTGAAGATGCCCAGGTGCAGAATGTGTATGACAGAGATGCAGCATCGCCTGTCATCTCCATCATCATAGTACCACTTTGCACTTAGAAGCTGAACTGCTGTCCCCGGTAGAAAAAGGCCAAGAGTGAGAGCCGCCCACTGCGTCTCTTCATTCCAGAGATAAAACCCTATACAGTAGATCACTAGAACATTCTCACACACACACACACACACACACCCACACCAAAAGCAGATGCAGACACCAAGATGCAAGGTGGTATAAGTGTTTAGTGTGTCTGTACATTTGTTTTCAGTAAGGAATCTATTTTGTTAAATTCAGTCTGATTTATCATAAAGTCATGCACTTAGTAAAGAAAACGCATAGTACATAAAACCCAGCATACTGTATATGTGAGGATATGCCGAAAGCTGCAGAGACCAGTCCTTGAAAAATTAAAGAGCACATACGCCTTGCTCAAACGAGCTGTCCTTTAATTTAAGAGGAAGCTGTTCTAATAAGATGATACAAGCACCTTCAAGAAGAGAGCAGAGACTGGATCCACGTTTTAGCACAACCTACAATTATTTATATAAGACCTCTTGGAAAACACTCATAAGGGACCAGAAAATGCATCACTGTTTAGATGATTTTGACTAACATTCTGTGTCAGGCTGAGTCTGGAGGCCAAGCAGCAGTGGGTATTTTTATCTGCTGAAGACCAGGTCACATTCTGTACACCTTCAGTCTCCTTGTCTCTCCTGTGTCCTGCCCTTGCCCCATTGATCTGCTTAGTCAGGGAATCAACACACTGTGCTGCATAGTGGTTGCAATACAGACTCCTGATGTGCCTTAACAACAAACTAACATACTGTAGGTCATTAAAACAATCAAATAGTACAATTATGGGGTTTTTTTTGGTGGTGGTGG